GATTGTTTGCGTTCTTATTCGCTTTATTTAAATGCAAATCAGTGCGAATGATTGCAGCTTGGAGATATTATCGTATATGTGTCGGAACACTAGGGTGTGAGTCCTTTTCTGCAACAATACTTGAAGCCATGCTCACACCTAAATTCATCCAGAGAAGTTAGGAATTCCCAGAGGACTATTTTCATTTTTAAGCAAAATTATTTGAAGTTACTAGGAACCTGAGACAGAGTCGATCTTGACTTGATTATTTTAAGCGTTCATTCGATATCATGTTTCTATTTGTTAAGTGCATCAATCGTACTTAACTCAAAATCAAGATTGTAGATTGATCAGGACATTATTTTAAAAGTTATTTTCAAATTCGATTCATTATCTTCTGAATCCGATATTTCTTTTTGAACTATTTTCACATTCATACTCTTTCTGAAAAACTAGGATCCTACTTCTTCCTCGGTCGTACGTGATACCCAGCTTATTTTGCTACATTTTATCTTTCGGTGAAACGATGTCCTTGTCTTCTTTGTTCACATACCAGTCAACAGAATTTTAGTTTATTCATCCTTGTATTTATACTTTGCTATAGCACGATTTGCAATTTTCACCTAGACACTCACTGCACTAGTTCTCTGTAACAATCAAATCGGAGAGAACGAAGCACAATATGTAGCTGTTGCATTACGAAATAACACGGTGAACCTCATGCTCGCTTCATCTCTCTCATATTTCTATCTATACTTTTTCACACAGACACTCACTACACTAAATCTCGGACAAAATCAACTCAGAGACAAAGGAACACAACATCTAGCTAACGCCTTAAGAAATAGCATGGTGACGCTTATTTTCTTTTAATCTCTCTCATATCTTCATGTACATTTTTTCACACAGACACTCACCACACTAAATCTTTCCAACAATCAAATTGGAGAGAACGGAGCACAACATATGGCTGTTGCACTACGAAACAACCTGGTGAACCTTATTCTCGTTTCATCTCTCTCATATTTCTATCTAGATTTTTTCACATAGACACTTACCACATTAAATTTCGGACACAATCGAATCGGAGACAACGGAACACAGCATCTAGCTGATGCACTAAGAAATAACATGGTGACCCTCATTGTCTCTTCATTTTTCTCATATCTGTATCGGCAATTCTTCACATAGACACTCACCACACTAAATCTCGAACACAATCAAATTAAAGACAAAGGTGCACAACATCTAGCTGACGCTTTTAGAAATAGCATGGTGACGCTTATTTTCAATTTCATCTCTCTCATATTTCTATGTACACTTTTTCACACAGACACTTACCACACTAAATCTTTCCAATAATCAAATCGGAGAGAACGGAGCACAACATCTAGCTGATGTACTGAGAAATAACAAGGTGACCTTCACTGTCTCTTCATTTTCCTCCTATCTCTATCGGCAATTTTTCACATAGATACTCACCACACTAAATCTCAAACACAATCAAATTAAAGACAAAGGTGTACAACATCTAGCTGATGCACTAAGAAATAGCATGGTGACGCTTATTATCTTTTCATCTCTCTCATATTTCTATCTGGGCTTTGTTATACAGACACTCATCACACTAGATCTCGGATGCAATCAAATCAGAGGCACAGGAGCACACCATTTGGCTGATGCATTACGAAAAAACACAGTGACCCTCATTGTCTCTTCATCTCTATCATATATTCATCTTCACTTTTTCACATAGACACTCGCCACGTTATATCTCTCCTCTAATCAAATCGGAGACAAAGGAACACAACATCTGGCTGATGCATTACGACATAACATGGTGATCCTCATTGTGTCTTCATTTCTTTCATGTCTTCATCTGCGTTTTTTTGACACAGATACTCAGCACCCTAGATCTCTGCAATAATCAAATCGAAGCTTTCGGAGTACAACATCTAGCTTTTGCATTACGATATAATATAGTAACCCATATTCTCGCTTCATCTCTCTCATATTTCTGTCTGGGCTTTTTCAAACAGACACTCACCACGCTAGAGCTCGAAGGCAATTCGATTAGAAACAAAGGAGCACAAGATCTAGCTGATGCATTACGAAATAACACGGTAACACTCATTATCTGTTTATCTCTCTAATATACCTATCTGCACCTTTTCACATAGACGCTCACCACACTAAGTCTCGAAATGGATGAAATCGGATACCAGCTTAGAACTCATTTGAAGGCATTGATTGAGCGGAATAAACAACGAGCAAAATCGTGAACATTGACTTCCACTATGACTTAATGAAGAACTCACATGTCTAGTTGAATGTGTGCTTTGATTTTTCTTCATGATTTGTTTTGTAAACAACAATAAAGTCTGTTGATTTTCAATATGATTGTGCTTGATCTTGAAAATATTGCGTTGGATTTTTTTTATAGCGGTCGCATGAAGACATAGTAGGACTTTTCTTTCAATTATGCTGCATATATGACTTGAGATAAAAAAGATAGCGCATGCTCCTATTGTTGATAAGTATGTCATATGATATGAGTAAAATTTTATTGAAAATCTTCCAACCAATGTAGGATGCGAAGAACTTTTATTTTCGAGATCTTGCCGTTAGTCTTCGATAATATGAATAATCATTTGTTTGTGTGACGTGGAAAAATGGACGCTATGCATATCCAAGATCGATTCTGATTGATATGAGTTTGGGTGTGAAAGAATCAACAAATCGCCAATTTTTCGTCTTGGGTAAAATGAATCTGACTTTTCTGAGTTTAATGACTCGAACAGCCAGCCAAAAACTTGCATAGCCATTAGGTCTATGCAATTGTTGAGATGACAAATATATGAGATTTTGTTGTCTCATCTGACATTTTCACTATTGGAATGATGTACGAAAGTAAATAACACCGACCTGAGAAGATGTCTTTATTAAAGTTAGTTGACATTTATGAGAGTATATTATTGGACGCTCAAATCGATTACAAAACACTTTGAGTTCACTATGTAATTATATTTCTTTTATTAGAAATTGGCATACATAGATTGAAAAGTTATTATCAATGAGCATGGATTGTTTTTTGAGCAAGTAAACATGTACTCCCATGAAACTGGCATGCTATACTGTTGTATGTAGTCAGCATTGGTCTGACGAAGTCTTGATAGAAAAAATTCACAAATATGTTTGTGCAATTAACCAATTTCTTGTTGTTACATTCACTGTAGATTTTTTCTTTTATATTACAGCTGGACAAATCTGTTCAAGAAAACCAAGATCAGTTCAATTTAGGATCTGAATTGATTTGTATTGAGATAATAGAAGTTTTCTAGATCTCTGAAGTCAGTTCGATTTTAAAATCAAGTTTCTTATAACTGTATACGAAACCACAAATTCATGAAATATAACCTCAACAAAATAAAATCACGTGCTTTTTATTTGAATGTTTTGTTTGATTGTTACTTAGAGATGTTTGAATCATGCTTGTGTTTGTATGTTTTGCCTTTTTATTCGCATAATACTTTCAAGTCGTGTCCCTTCACTGTCTACATAGTAGTGTGTACACCAAGCGTATTATTGTTTGTCATTAATGAATCAGCATAAAATTCTATTTAAAGCAGTTATGAGTATATAGTAATCGTTTTCTTTAGATGTCGATCAGTGCAATATCAATACTGAACTTGTCGAAGTCACCACTGTATTAATTATTTCAAAATAGAACAAATCATCTGAATTCAATTCAGTTTATGAGTTTAGTTGAGCTCAATTGAGAAAAAAATTTTTTCACCATTTGTAAGTTGAATTGAATCAGAACTAGACAATTTCAACTCCAACGTTGAAGTTAACATCAGAGTTGAAGCTGTTTCTCTTCAGAGCTGCACTGGATTTAATATAGATCTGGAGTGGAGTTGTATGGTGTTGAAGCAAGATATAGTAGTGTTATCCATCTCTCGATTTTATGCGAAAGCTTGTAAAGGAATGGATTAACCTGCTACTCATTGATATTCATCGTAGATTTACTTTTGTTCAAAAACTTTCTTGTAGTTAAGAGAATGTTGGAAGAAGTTAACCTTTGTAAAATCGTATTTGAGTTAAAGTTAAATCAGAGTTGAGATAGAGCTGTAGAATTAATCAGGAATGATGGTTAGAGTGGAATTTTAGAAAAAAGAAACGAAATAATGTCGAGTTGCAACTGGACATCGTGGAAATGCCTACTTTTGAATTGAATTGAGTTACAACAATTTTCGACTTCATTAGAATTGCATTGCTTGATATTGGGTCAAATCTATGAATTGAATGGTGCTGATATAGGGAACTTTTCAAGGTTTCATGAATTAAATCAATATAAGTCGAGTTGCTCAGCTCTGTGTTATACGTAGCTATTAGATGAAGAGGATATTGTGACTTTTCTATGCATTGCAACCGACGAGTGTAGAAACTACAAATAAATTCTCTACTGGCAGTCTGCATCTGTTAGTCTGGTATCTGTAAGTGTTTATTGGCTGTAACTGTGAATGTCTATGAAGGTGCACATAGATCTGCACGCTAACTCACACCCACACCCTCAAAGGAAATAATTTCGGAGTCGAAAATTTGACGTAAAACTTGAATAGCTGGGTGATGTACTGTGATTAAAAGAAATGAGTAATCACTAGCTTCGCTCCCACATAAGTATGAGAAAAAATTAGACTATGACTTTGTTGACGACGATCATATTTCAATGATTTTCTTATCATTGATAGATATGAGAATGTGAGACGTCACATATTGAATTTTTCGAACTAACGTCACGAATAATCATATAATTAGTTGCGATGAAAAAAAAAGATGAAAAAGAAAAGACTACTTTCTTTATAGTTGTAACACGAGAAGAAATTAATCTTTTGATCCATGCACATAGTGAGGCGCTTCGAAGAAAGAGATCGAAAAGAAGCATTTTGATATTTTGCTGGACTAGTATGGCTTCGTGTATTTTTCTTCTTCAACTTCTTTTTACAGTGAGTTTGTTCGAAATGAGCACATCTGCTCTTCCCATCGCGTTGATCTATCGAGGTCCTGCTGCTTGTCGTGGTTGTCCAGAGACGATTGCTGATCTTCTACGAGAGAAATACCAAATTATCTATGCTGGACCTAAGGAACAAGTAGACGTGAATACGAATACATTATCGGCAGCACAGCTATATATACAGCCGGGTGGAGGAGATTTAGATGAGGCCTGGCCTCATGTTCGCCGCTACGCTTCACCTATTCGTGATTATGTTCGGAATGGAGGAAAATATCTCGGTTTCTGTCTTGGTGCTTATTTGGCAGGAACAGAACCGGGTTTTGGCCTTCTTCCAGGTAGAGGACAGACCGACCAATACATTACATCAAAGGGTGCTGTTGTCACCAGTGAAATCGATACTGTTGTACCTCTATTTTGGCGAGGAATGCTGCGACATGTCTACTTTCAAGATGGCACTCGCTTGATGATCGATCGAACAGCAGCACCTGCAGAAATCCTAGCCGTTTACACCAATGGTGAGATTGCAGCTGCTGTGCAAAATTATGGAAAAGGACGCGTAGGAATGGTTGGGCCGCATCCAGAAGCCAACGAAGAGTGGTACGCGATGTACAGATTGAAAAATCCGGACGGAAAGATGAGTTTCGATCTTTTTGATGATCTCGTCAAGACGTTGATGGCTTAATGATTTGATTATATATTTATGCGTTGAAAAAAATAAAACTAACTGTCACAATAGTAAAATGTGACAATAAACAGCGCCACCAGTTTTCAAGCAAACATTCCTCCTACTTCAATAAAATTGCAGGGTGCTATTATAATAGACATCGCTGAGATGCACACGTGTTTAAAGATTCTTTCGTGCTTTGGATGTGGGCATGAAATATTGGTCTCCTCATCACCCATAGCTACATCGACACCGAGATACCCTCACATCCACGCCTACACCCTAATGAATTTCTCGAGATCAGAGCTGTATCATTTCAATCTGAAGCTAGTGAAATCATCTAAATTGAATTGAATTGAATTCATGAGCTCAGTTGAATCCAATTGGGAGCAAATTTTTCTTAGTCTATAAGTTGAATCGTATGAAGTTGCAATGATATACGAATTGGTTTGAATTAAATTTCAAACTATTTCGTCAGATATATGTATCGAATGGTATTGAAAAGAAGAATTTTTTCAGAATCTTATCACTTGAATTGAGATGAGTTCAGTTGACCAAACCTGTGTATATGTACCTAATAAGATGGAAAAGATATTATGACTTTTATATATCGAAACAAAAGAGTGTAGAAATCAACAATCAATTCTATACTGATAATTTGTATGTGTTAGCTTGGTACTTGTTTTAAAAAGCCACTCACACAGTAATGTTATAGTCTTTTGTTAGTCGTTCGATACTGTCAGAAATGTATCAGAGTATGGGTATAAAATAGCAACTATATCTATCACTCATGTTTTGCAAACAGTTGAAATGAAAAGTATAGATATCTCACCAATGGTACTTTCGTCCCATACTGCGTACTAGCATCAATTATAGACTTTTCTCAGTGAATTGAAATATCTAAGTGATACAAAATGACAGTCGAAAAGCCAACAATTATTATTTAAAGTTTATATGAATATTCATCTATCCTATTTAATAAAATCTTTGAAAGCGCGAGCAGTGAAGAGGCATACACAGAAGTTATCGTGTTAGATATTATTTCACACGATAATATCAACACAATTATGCCATAAAACAGTCAATGCTACCGAATTCAGTCTACTCAGTAACCTTAATGAAACAAAGATTTTCAACTTTCTATGAAGTTAAAACGGCTCTATAACACCTTCCTTTATACAAGATTACCAGTTTCAAACATGCCACATCTAGCCTTAAGCAACGAAAGGATTACTTAACAAACATCGAAACCATATACAAGCATACATATTTCAAAACAAGTCGTCTACAAATTTCATTCAAAAAATTCCACTCTGTTCCATTCCATCAACCTTATTCATGCCAAAGAGTCATATCCATCCCATCCCATGTGTTGATCCCACACTTTAGCTCAATCAAAGTGATTTCTACGAATCAAAAGTCAATCATACGCAAACAGGCACTACATTATTTATTGCTCGAAACACCAATACAGTATACAATCACATAAATTCTTAAATCCATCATGCTACTCAGTGTAACAGCTCTTAAAAAAACATAGCATCTCAATAATGACACGATAGAACAACAGTAACAATGTTACTTCGTAAAACGTCAATCAGATGTTATGCTTCTTTGTCTCCGGTTTGGTTGCCTTGGAGTTGTGCCATGATGTGTGTCTGTATGAAAAGTACAGATGGGTAAAGTTACCAGTTATCACATTATTCGATGTAATTTGCCATGCATATTCCAACTGTATCTTTATTTTTCTCTTAAAGTAGTTCTCAGACAAAAGGACGCCTAAAATCTCTAAAAAATAGGAATCTTTTAAAAAATCTGTATCTCAGTCCAGAAACATTTATGCATCTTTGTTCTGAGTGAGTAGACATGTTAGACAAAGAAAAACATTCTTGAAAATTTTCATTGAGTTTGGAGCAATAATATAGTGTGTGCATCGACTAAACTGAACATGGTTTTATAGAAAAACCTTAGTTGAGAAAGCATGCATACTTTTTTTCAATAAGGAAACGTTTATAACAAAGTTCTATATGTAGGACAATAGAGCAAAAGTTTGATTTTAAGAATCTGAACATTTTATTCCGTAGGTCATTCTTTTAGATCTAGAATTTTCTCAAACTTAATTTTTTTACATAAAAAAAGTCAGTTACTAACCAAATTATACTCAACATTTTTTAAGTCGCTAAAAATATCACTTTCATTTTTTCACCTAGTGTTCAAGCTGCTGTTGACTGTGTTCTGATTTGTTTCAATGGACGATTTAGTGAAAGACGTAAGAGAAAATTTATTTGGCGATTGTATTAATTGTAAATTTGGTCGATATGTCCAATGTGTTCAATACAGTTTCAATAAAGCAACGAACAAAAAGGAAACAAAAGACTATAGTCTATGAGTTGATTTATATGTCAACATGAATCAGAGAAAGTATTTTCACTCAGTTACTAACAAAACATAATCTATACCATTTTAAATAAACAACGAGATCCTTTTTGCTGAGTTAATGATTTCGTATTTGTCTGACTTAGAGTTGTGCATACAATGAATATGTTCTCTTGAAATTGATTAAAAAAAAAACTCTTTCTATCATGAAATACTTTAAATGCAAAACTACAAGTCAAGAGAAGTACTGATATAAATTGTTGTTTTTATGATGTATTCATATTATTAAAAGAACTGTGATGATAATACATTTATTTTTAATTTCCGATTTGTATCTATATGATATGATGTTGTTTAATATTCAGTTACAATCATGAATTTTTCTTTCATCTATTCGTGGATTTATTTTGAAAGAAGAAAATAGCATAACTCAGCTATGTTGATAAATAAATTGTCTTCATCGTAATATTATTCCTTCAAAGTCATAATATACTGAATATATTATTATCACTAATTTCTAATTGAAAGGTTTTCTTTTTGAGTACAATTATTTGAAAACGGTTTAATAAAACATCTGATCTCAAAGATGATGATCATTCAATCGAATGAGTAAAATTGTATAATTGTTTAGGCTATTATTGGATAACAAAAAACATCTTAGCTAAGAACAAGTCATTAGTTATATCCAAAAAAAACAAATTTTAATCACTTTTATTATACATCACTATAATGACATTAATATTGTTCTTATTAAAATGATTATTTTTCCGCATTCATTTATAATGAATGTTCCTTTGATGATTTATGTTATACATATTGAACGAAATATCTTAAGACTTCTTTTATTTCGTTTCTCGAACAATTTTCTCTTAAACTTGAACCGTTCCTAATGACAAGAAATATTCATCCAATGATGGCTCATCCGACTCACTAGTGATTCTCAATATAGAAGATAAAAGACACTATGGTGAGTTTTCAAAAATATTTTATGGTAAAATCAATTGTTCTTCCCTTTCCTCTTGAAATTATCTCTTTGTTAATTATCTGCTACCATAATAGGTTATCTTCTGCGTTATCTTTTATTCTTGTTTTAATTACTTTTAAACATGCTGATTTTTGGTCTTTTTTTTTCTTTTCTGATTTTTTTAATATATCATTTTAATGAATACACTTTTTATTAAGTATCTGGTCCTTTAGATCCATTAAAATCAAATATTTAAATACAGTAAATAACTATGTAATCCAATGAAACAGCAATTGTTTATTCTGAAATTCATCAAAAACTAAGTGATACTACTATTATGATAACAATAAAATTTTGTATATAAAAATCTTTTTCATTTTTACGCATGCCGCTATTAAAATAAATGTGCTTAATGTTACGTATCGTCATGATTGAATTAATGAGCAAGAAATATTCTACTTCTTTTTTCTCACCCTATCTCTTGTCAAGACGTTTGTTTTAGTGAATGATCAAACAAGTATAGTAGAAAGCAATCGAGCACAACATCCATTAACTTTTTTTCGACTATTCAAGTGTCAAATCGAACTTGGTAATGATTATAAAATGTGTTGTCGTATTTTTGAAATGAGATTCCGTAGCAAAAAAAAAGCGAACTAGTTTCTAACGCATATTCATTTTTTTGTTTTGTTTCTTAATAACACATTTTATAGATGAATAGTCAAAATAATTTTACTCGATATTTTGGAGTTGATTGACTTATTAAAACAGACAGTTCTAATTGTTTAATATCGATATTTATGATAACAAACGTGAACAATTCAAATAGCGGTACTTGTTCGTTTTATGCCATAGCTATCAATGACAAATTATTATCGGTAGACGAAAAGAAAGCAACAACAGTAATGATCATCGATGTGAAACGACGTTTGATGTGACATATATACATAGAATGTATGCATACAATGGCGACTGTTGCACTAATGAAGCGATGTAAGAAAAAAAAATCTATTAAAGTAAAAGAGAAGTACAATCTTAACCGTTTGAACATCTGTTACTATGTGATATAATTATAAATTTTAAAAAAAATCTAAAAATTACTTATAACTGAATATATCGATTATGAGCTTCAAATAAAATTATTGCAAGTAGTTGATGAATGTTCGTAAAGTTTAGCAGTGAAATAAACAACAATCAAACTAACAGTTCATTTGTACTCATTCTGTTGATGATCAATAAGTATGAGATTCAGTAAAGAAAGATCTCATGTTCCACACAATAGTACTTTATTTTCAATTTAAAAAATAGAAAACTAGAATTTCTTGTATGATTTGTTTCTTAGTTTTTTTTTGTTTTTATAGATGATAGTATAAATTTGAACATTTGATGATAAGAAAACTCATCATAAAAATAGTGTCGATAACTTGTTTCCATTCAGCACTACTATTGGAAACTGACTAAAATCAATTTGAGTCCAATTTATCAACAAATTGATATTGCACAATCTGTCTTTATTGTCAATCAGAGATGAATTGAGAAGTAGACTCTAATATTCGAATGTGATATTTTCTTCACAATATTAATTATTTCAAGTTAGCTTTGTAAAATATTTTGACACAAAAAAAAAAGTTCTGTCTGAGAATAACGCATGTTTAAAATGCTTCAACACTTTTATTTTCATATTCTATTTTACTCTGATTTATAAGAATAATATTACACTTAGGTCTATGTGTGAAAAATACATATTACCTGTTCACTTCTCTTTTCTTTTTTTTTTTTCGGTGTGTCCAATAAAAAATTAATGCGATAAACCAATGAGAAGATTTTTCTTTTCTGAAAAAAAAGAAAAACAGTCATTTTATAACGTTGAATGATATCATTCAAAACGATGAAAAGTAAGTTGTATGTACCTGGTCTAGGTGAGTATATATTTCATAATATTAATCTTAATTAATTAAAAATAGTCATATAGGACAAGCAGGAGTTAATCAACTTGGTGGTATATTTGTTAATGGTCGTCCATTACCTGATCATGTACGTCGAAAAATTGTTGAATTAGCATTAAATGGTATTCGTCCATGTGATATATCACGAAAATTACTTGTTTCACATGGATGTGTTTCAAAAATTTTAACAAAATTTTATGAAACTGGTTCTATTCGACCGGGATCTATTCATGGACGACAATCGAATGTAAAATTTTAAATAAAAACTAATTGTAGATGAATTCAAATTCTTTTTTTTTCGTCGTAGAAAATAAATACTTATCAATCAAATAATACTGAAGAATTATTAACAGTTCGGTAAATTATTTTATATTCGTCAAAGTTTCTTCGTTTATAGAATATTTTTTTTTTGTGTAAGGAATCATCAAGAAAATTTATTATGTGTATTACATCATTATAATCAATGTTACTCTCAAAAAATCACAAATTCACCATCGGAAGATGAAATTTCAATTGAAACAAATTCATCATCATCATCATCATCATTAATAAAACATTCCATTGAAAATATTTTATCAAATCAAATGACAAAAAAAAATAAAACTTGTATGTTCTATTTAAAAAATAAAATAGTTATATAGTATCTTTTGTTTTTATTTTATGTTTAGCATCAATTGATAATCAAACGAATAATAAACGACAAAAACTTTTTACTTGTTAATTTAAATAAATTCATTTCTTTTTTTTTTGTTTCCTATATTTTGAAAACAGTATACATATAATAAATAGAAAATTATTCGTTAAAACTTTAATTTCAAATGACAACAATCAAATGTATATTAAAATTAAGTCTTGATAATCATAATTAAAAGTTTGATGGCATGATAGATTTAAAGTAATCAGACAATAGTTTAATATTTAAGAAAAATTATTTACTAAGATACACTACATAATGACTTCAGTTTAGGAATAACTATTTCAAATTTATTTGTATGACATCTAAAAAAAAAATTTCTTCAATACTTGTTTCTTGTATTTCGATGACTAGCACTTTTTACAATCATGTTCTAACTGATTTGGTTCATAAGTTTCAACTATAATCTTTAGGCTAGATTGGAACAACTTATCCTCTTTTAGTTTCAATTGTGGTCTCGGCAACTGATCGTAATAAATCTTTCAAAATTTGGTTTCATGCATCTCTAATTGTATTTTTTCAGTATAGTAAACCTCTAATCTCCCTACACAATAAAAATCCTAGATTTTTGGGGAAACTTTGTTCATAAAGAGAAGTTAACTAGACTTTCTTCTATGATAAAATTCATAAATTTTCGATAAATTCTCTTCGAAATATGATATTTTTCAGATAAAGATGTTTTTTCATGAATAATGCATATAACATATATTTTTTTCAAAGTTGAGATACACTTTTTCCAATATTTAATTCGCTAACAATAAGGACTAAAAAAATGCAATAATGAGCATAGATGTAATCTCAACATGTTGATGCTACTACTTTTATTTTATCTGAATAATGAAAATATCTATGATTACTATAATCGTCTAGGTGAAAAACATACATGATTAGATAATAGATTTTTGTTTCTAGCCTTGATTCTAATTTTAATGTAAAAGAACAAAATCTTTGAAACAAAAACCTTCAACTCCAATGTATAAGCTAAAACGATAATTACAAAAAAAGAAGCGAAAAACACTATAGGAAAATTATAAATCATTATAAAGAAGGATTTGTTTCTTCAATATAGACAACATATGAATTTATATCAAAATTTATTCTGATAGAAATAAAAATGTATTTTACTTATAACATAAATATACATTATTTGATTATACAGGTCAAGTTAATATATCATATAGAAAAAAGTTAGTCAAAAGTTTGATACAGAAAAAATAATTTAAAGTACTCAATAGTACTACCATTTAACATATTAATCTTCGAAAAAGTAAAAGATCTGATTTTATTTTGAATTAGTGAGGTAATATTTTAAATTTTTAGAGTATTCAAATTTTTATGGATTGAACTATAATTCGACAGCATAATATATTTATACTATAAGGCAAATTTGAAGATAAATAAGCATTATTGCAAAAAGCTTAAAGAGATGGCTTCGTTCTTTTCTTTTTTTTTGATCGGAACTTGCTAAGACAAACTCTATAACATTGTAGATTTAACGAGACTTTAATTACAGTTGAATACAACTAATTAGATATCTCATCTTTTTCAATTTTTTTTTTAAAACTTTACTTAAATCTTAACTTCACCTGACATATTTATATATATGTACGTATTACACATTACGTAAGAGAATTTTCTTTCTTGAACACAGCAGATTAAGTCATATAGAGAAAAGTATTGAATTTTTTTTTTGGCCATATTTGTCTGTAATTTCTTACGTAGTCTAGAATTATATTTCATTAATTTCAACAAGAATTTGTTTTAAAAAATTTGACATATTTGAAAATAGTATTGACCTTGATTAAATCAATAATTCTTTTCTTTTGTCATTCGACTAAACATCAATAAAACGTTATTTTCTTTTGTTTGTTATTGAAAATAAAAAAAAGAAAAAAAAAAAAACTGCAATAGAGTGCATGTGTACAAGAAAAAGAATGCATATGTGTGATTCTAAAGAAGAATAATACCGAATAGAAAAGAAGACGAAATAAAAAAAAAAAAAAAGAAAGAAGAAAATTATATATAGTCCTTGATTCATTCTATGAAGAAAAAAAATCGATTGATATCACCGATTAATTTCTCTATTATGAAAGACGTTTGTACTAAAAATATAAAAATAAAAGATTATTTCGTTGATTTTTTTTTTTTTTTAAATTAACATAAATTTACTGTTGTTCACGCAGTAATTAATCCACGAGGATGAGAAAATGTAACAGAAGTCACTGCACTTTTTTCTGGTGCATTTATTGTAAATGTACGTCTAATACCCATAACTTTATCAGAATCAATAAATAATGAATTATTTTTAATTGCTAAATCTTGTTCTAATGTTGATTTTGTACGTAATAAATGTTGTACAGCATTTTCTTCTTGTCGTAATTTACCATGAAGATCAGCAATACCTGCATGTAAATCATGTACTTCTTGAACTAATCTAAATAAAAATATAATTTTTTTTTGTTAAATATATATATATATATTAAAATAAATAATAATTCAATATAACCTATGCATAGCAGGATCTCGACATGCTTCAACATTTGGTCGTCTTGTACGTGTTTCAAGACGTGTTTGAGCAACTTGTAAAAATGCTTCTTTATCGGCAATTGTTTTTTTTAAAAATTCAATATTTTGTTCAACATCAAAGATTTCTTGAAGAATCTATTATGAAATAAATAAAAGCTTTTTTATTTTTTTGTATTTTGTTTTTTTTTTTTCAAATTAAACCTTTTCAAGATGAGCTTGAATTTTATTTTTAGCTACTTGTCCTTCTTGTACACGATTTTCAAGTGATACATTAACATGATTCCATTGTGACCACATATCATTATTACTTTGTGCCATAAGTTGATTACTAGCATTAAGTAATTCATCTGATTGAGATATTTCACTAAGAGCTCGACGAATATTCTCTTCTGTATATCGTGTCCATGATTCAGGTACTGATACACTAAAAATTTATAGTATATATAAAATTTACTCAAAATATTTAATGTATTAAATCGAGAGAGATTCTAACTAATGTATACTGTTAGATAGCGTAAAAAAGTTAGCAACAGTAGTTACATCGAATCTCACATTTTAATCTTGCATAAAGATGGTGCTAACAGTTTTTTGTATTAATATAAATTCGAGTCCTACAGGATGCTAATCTAGTCTTTTCTTCTTAAGAAAATAAAATATTATTCGATTTATGTTTCTAATAGACAAGAAGAAGAATGAAATGATATATGTCAAAAAAACAAAAACCTCTATTCGGATTAGAATTATTCTCTCTGCATTTTTATGTGAAAAAATTCTTGTAATAAAATGAAAATAAAATTATAATGTTTGACAACATATGAGAAAGATCGATCACTATAATAGAAATATTGATCGTAGTTTTTCAAAATGAATTATTTCTACTATGATAATTATGACTTATAAAAAGGCTGATCATAATCCCTAATTTTTGTTTTAAGAAAATAAAGACTTAGAACTATCAATACTAAAGAATTAATTTATGATAAACATACGTATTATCAACGGTTTCAATGCCTTCATAAAAATTAATTCCACGTGATGTTGTTTTAATATTATGAGCAGCTGAATCAAGTACTCGAGCACGAAATTTATCTTGTGAATCACGTTCTAATTCATGTAATGCAGCACGATTAAGACTAAAATATAAAATAATATAAAATATTATTATTATTATTATTAATAAAATTTCTTACGCATTTTGTGTATTAAGACGTTCAAGCATTTGTCGAAGTTTTTGTTGACATAATTTAATTGTATCAACTTCCTAGATAACAAAAAAAAAAAGTTTCTTTTTTTCTCTTATTTATATTAATAAAAGAAATTTACTCGAATAAGTTCTCGTTCAACATTATCATGTACAAGATCAATACCTACAAAAAAAATTTGATTTGAAACAAGAAAAAGAATTTTTTTGTTTTGTTTTAAACCTTGTCGTTTTTCTCGTTCATATAAGTTTTCTTGTGCAATACGTAATGGTTTTTCAGATTCCGATAATAATCTTTCAACTTCACGTCTTTTTGATTCAACATCATCAATTTTATGTTTCATTTTATCTTTTGTTTTTTCTAATTCACCTTTCCAATATTCAATATCATTTATACGTTCACCTAAACGTTTTGATGATTCAGCATTATTTTTAAATGATTGTTCATCTTTTTCACGTGCTAAACGTATGGCATCAGAACGTAAACGTTCAGCTGCAGCACGAATTTTATCCGAAGCTAAATAATTTGTCATTTGAGCATTATACCAATCTTTTGGTGTATAACGTGTATAAAGTGCTTGACGTGCTGATGGAAATATTGGTGGTACTTTAACATTATCAATATTATTAAGATAATTTGATGAACTCATTGGTTGCATTGTAGATGAAGTTAATGATTGTGTTGGTTCAACACGAGCTGATCGATAAAATGTTGATGGACGCCATGGAAGAGAAAGTGATCGAGTTAATAAACCAGAGTATGGTGGAGCCGATGATGTTCGATAATCGAATGTGCCTATTGATGGTAAAAGATTACCTTGTTGAGGACGTTGGCCCATATGTGAATATTGAGCCGTTGCAGTAGATCCCATGTAGTCCATTTTTATTAGTACACCGGTTGATCAATAGGCTAAGAAGAAAAAGAATTCAAGAAATTTTTTTATTTTTATGACATCAAAAAATAGTCTATATATTTTTACCTATGCGTGTGTTGGACACTATATGCGTTCGTTCGATACGCGCACACACACGTACACACTATCGAGTGAAGTGAATTTGAGTGACAAAAAAGAAATCTTAGACAAGGTGTAAAGAATTTCTCTCAGTCGCTCTTGGTTGCTCTCTCTCTTTTTTTTATTGTTGTTGTAATGTTACCTGTGAGCATGTATGTATTTGCGTTGTCAACTGATTTTTAACGATGTCCGATGACGATGGCTGATTTTGTTGTTGTTGTTGTTGATCCTGGTTGTCAGAAGAAACGCATTTTTTGTATATACTACTTTCTTTTTTTTTTTACTTC